TAGCACTAAGTGGACTAGGTAGGTTTAGGGGAAAAAAATAAGAGTACACGAAGAGAGAAGGGTGTAAACAGAGACAGCCCTTTCATTCCTAACTAGCTCTTACATCTTAAATTACTCCATTTCTATTAATCTGTATATCGCCATGATGCTGTGTCTTACCAGTAAGGTTCTGCAGTTTGTCTTCTTTAGCATCTACACAGTGCCTCCCTGACTCTGCCTTCTTTCCTCCTCTTTCTCTACTTAGATTTCCCGCCTGGCTATATTCTGGCCTGCCATAGACCAAAGCATCTTTTTTATTAAACAATGGCAATAAAACACATTTACAGCCTACAGAGGGGAATCCAACATCAGGAGGGGAATGTGAGGAAGAAATTACAGAGGAAATAGGGAAGGAATTGGAGAGGAAAGATTTGAACAAGATCTGTCACATGGATGAGTAAAATTCTGGGACCAAGACAGAGAGTGGATGTTAGCTGTAAACGTCCTTGTCTGCTCGTTTTACTTCCTTTTCTCCAGTTCTTCCTTTGCTTAGACCTTCCCTTTTCTGCCTGAGGTCAATGCCCAAGGAACCACAAGCCTTTGAATTTTGTCTCAGCATCTACTGAATCAATCTAAGAAAAACACTGAATTTTGTTTCTACTTAGTGCAGAGAAGAAAGCATTTTCTAAATTCAAATGTCTTTTTAAGAGATTATGGTTAAAATGCTTGTGGTGGTCAGTTTTAATTGTCAATGTGAGATCATCTAGAATTTCCTAGGATTGTCCGTGTCGTGTTGGCATGAGGACCAGTCAGTGGAGATTATCTTCATTACATTAATTAAGGTGGGAGGACCTAACCACTATGTGGGGTGCCATTCCCTGGGCAGGGGATTCTGAATTGCACGAGCGGAGAAAGCAAGCTGAATCCTAGCATGCCTGTGTTGCCTACCTGCTCTCTGCTCTTGACTGTGGGTGTGATATGATCAGCTGCTGCAAGCTCCTTGGCTCCCCCGCTAAGGTGGTCCATACCCTGGGCATGGGAACCCAACAAATCCCTTTTTCTTGTTTTTATTTATTTTTTTTATCACATAGTTCATCTCAGCAAAACGAAACAAAATGACGACAGAGATCTTATGCTATTTCATCTCTAGTCAGACTATCGTTTGGGGACGAGTAACAGAATTGGTTAGGACCTTATAGCTGGTGACCAAGAGATGTGCAACTCTCTGTCCAGATATACCATGGTTGTTACAATCTTGGCGCAAGAACAGCTATGATTATCTGCATGGTAATCTCACACTCTTGTGCTTATTAAAGTCTCTTCTTGGGAGGAAAGGAAGGGTGACCAGTCATCCCTGGCCCCGCTGAATCTCACCTTGCCTCAGCTGCACGTCTCCAGGCACACTGTTAGAAAGGCCCTTGGTGAGAAGGCGAGGAAGCCCTGGTTTATTCTGTTATTCTCCGTTCTCTCAGATTCTAGGAGGTGTAAAGGACCTAGGCGATGGTGGGAGGTTGCCTGGGTTGGAGACGCCAGTCGTGCAACCTTCTTAGGACTCAGGCCAGGATTAGGCTTTGTGGTGATGCTACTGTCTCAATCATCCATGCTTCTGTAAGGAACCACAATAGACTCGTTGGTTCACCAAGCTCAACTTAGAGGAATATTTTCTTTAGTTTGTTGTTTCCCTCTCTATTTGTAGTGAAAGTCCTGAAGTCCTGAGGAAATGTCACACAACACGAGGAGAATCTCGAGTTCAAGACTACTCTCAGATGGGCATAACAATCGGACATGCTGTATGCCAGCAACATACCTGTGTACATCTCCTCTGTGAGCTTGGCAATTGGTCTGTGTAGATGCACGTTTGTGCGGCATGAGGTGTCTCGTCCCGTGTTGGGGGAAATCAGCACTATGACTGCAAGAAAGTTGCATCTGTCATAAAAACTGTTTTTTCCCTTTGTGTGTATATTACAATCAGCAAGTGTGGAGATGGTGCATGAATATCTACATTGAAATTAAGACCAGATCTCTGAAGTAGAAAAAAAAATAAAAACATGCTTGTTCATGTGTTCACTACCAAAAGAGACCCTTTAACTTTAGTTAGAATAAATATAAGGACGTAATTGAAAATGTTGGAATTACAAGTGACTCATAAGTTTTTAGGAATGCATTACATATTTGTATTTTAAATACATTTGTTTTTAAAGTGTTTTCTCTTACAGCCCTCAGCAGAGAAACAGAACATTTAGTTATGTTAGGTGCTATGGATATTCATGGAAAATAGTTACCAGTGTAGCTAAATACCACGTCTCCAGGCACACTGTTACAAGGGCCCTTGACGAGAAGGCAGGGAAGCCCTGGTTTATTCTGTTTCTCCTTTCACTCAGATTCTAGGAAAAGGAGTGATATAAAACTATCAATTACATAAATGTCCATGAAGAGTCCCAAAGTGAAATCCCTTTGTCTCAACTGAGAAATTTTTCATCTTATTTTCTTGGATTATGATGCATTTCGGGTTTCTTCTGCTCTTCCAATATGAACACAGTTTACAAAGTTTACACAGTTCCATGTAAAGTAAACCGCACAGCAGAAACACAAGAGGCTTTTTTTCTATCCACATAAACAAGTGGATTCATAGTCTTACTTGATGTTGATCACAAGAGATAAGAATACCACGAGCAACTTAAAAACAACGGGAACAAAGGATCTGATTAGAAATGACAGTTGTTTGGGAGTTTAACTTTGTAGGACAAAGGCTAGCTTTTGAGTGTTTATTTTAGGGTGGGGGAGTTTACATTATAGAGGTATTCTCATCTCCAGTTCTTTCATTGAGCCATGACACACTTCCTGGAGATTTCAAGCCGCTCTGTTTAGCAAGACGACTTTGCATTCTGAAGAGGTTTCCTGCCTGATTTAATTCCATCAGCCGATCACCATGGTAACTCTTGGTGTCGTTTCCTCTTCCTGGAATGAGACATTAACTCTGTTTCAAATAGAATTTTTGGCACAGAAAATAGAATAAGTTTCATAAAGTAAACTGTGTGTCCACAGGAATGCCTTTTAGAGTGATCTTCTGGGTGGAGAGAAGTCCTACACACATGACCACAGAGTTAGGAAGATAGAGTGTCCAGGTGGCAGCAGAGGTCACATCAAGACAAACTGATACTGAAAGACTTAATTTTATTAAGGAAGAATCCAACAACAACCCTTTGTCATAGATTAGCCTAATTAAATACAAACAAAACAACCAATAATATACCAATCCTAACATTTTAGAAGAGTGATTCATCTAAATTTCTCCATGTTGTCTTAAAGTGTATTAGTTTGGATAATGTAAAATGGAAAAATAACTTATATAATGAACCGCAATACAATGAACCAATGCATATCTTGCCATAGATTTTATTTGTAAAAGGCATTGTCAAGCACACAGGAATGTATTGGGCATACTGACCCGTTCTGTTAAGACCTATTCTTTGAGACAAAGATGCAGGAATACAGGCAGGAGTAGTCGGATATGGCCATGAGAAAGAGGGGTGATTGTGTTTAGCATGCTTACTGCAGTCCTTCGTCTGTGTCTACATATTATTATTAATTGTCTACACGAAGGTGGCACACAGATGCTTATATGTCTGTATATTGTACATATATAGACATGTGCCAATCAGAAGTACATATTGATAGAAAAAACCAAGCGGGTATTGAGAGAAAACCCATTTAGACAACAGCTTCACTGACATGAGTTTACTATGTTACAGGACTATTTCTGTAAGGATTAGACTTTTGTTGAATGTTTGAAAACCATGTGTGAATTATAATTAGTGATTTCTACCTAAACTTACAGGTGAGGTCTATTTTCCCAAGCCGTACAAGGGGAGAGGAGTCAAAATTGTGACTCCTCGTAAGCCTCACTGGCAGACAACAAACGGGTTCTTTTGGATGACTTGAGACTTCTCTATGGAGAACCGTTGATTACGATTCTTCCGTCAAGCAGAGGTCGTTGGAAAGCACTATTGTCTTTCCCATAGTCAGATGTCTAGAAAAAGGTGCTAACTTCAGAGAGTTTCATTAAAATAAAAATTCACACCCATAGAACTTCCTAAAAGGACCATGCATTTAGCAGAACTAAGAAGAGCAATAAAATAATTTTATACATTCTAAATATTGAAGTTATGGTATTTTAGAGTGCTGACCGTAATTCTGGGGGATCTCCTTTGATTATTCAAATTAGGGGAGTACAGGATCCCTTCAGGCGCACTGCGGCTGTAGCCACTCTGAAAGCTTATAGATGCTGTTGGACTATCTCACGATGACACAGCATTAAAAAGCTCTGGTAGCCACCGTGTGCTGCTTACTGTCAGTGCGGCTGACTCAGCGAGCCTGATGTAAATAAATCTAGGTTTCACGGCAGCTGCTTTCAAGTTCAAACACATGCGCTCTGCAAATTGAGTTCATATCTTCTATTTCTGACCCCACCTCCCACCATCCTGTGAATGACAATACAAACGCATCATACCAAAGAAAGCACTAGGACATCTCTGCCTGAGCTCTGCAGTGACGAAAGGCTTGGAGAAAATGAAGGTCCTAACACTGACTTACATGTTTGACTGAGGAATCTCCACTTTTCTGAGCTACTTGACCTAAAATGTTATTTCTGTATTATTTTGGATCCTGCACACCGATACATATCTTTGTCACACTCCTTCCCGTCTCCCTTCCTCTCCCCACCCCAGTCTCCCAGGTTCCCTTTCTTCCCCTCCTGCCCCTCACCTCTACTTTCTCTCCCCTCCCTAGACTCCTTAGTGCCTGTGTGAGTTCTGAGGAGGTGGGGACATTTCCTATGACACATTTTTGTCCTTTAACCTTCACTCAGCCACTCAAGCACAGATTATTGTTTCTTTCTCTAAAGTATACAAACATTATGATGGCATAATAACCAGACTCATACCAATGCAGTGAACCTTGCATGAGTCATAGAGGATTTTGCCAAAATGAATATCCTATGACATAGATGTTATAGTTCTGGTTCTGGTGAGGGCAGAATAGGAAAAAAAAAATCTCGATACATGAGAGCTTTTCCCACTGAGGAATCTCAGTCATGAGACAAGTATCCTCTGGCTGCACAGTAATGAAATTTCCATTAGCTGGATTTAAAATCTCTATCCATGTAACTTAGACTTTGATGTATTGCCATTTAGTATGTCCCGGAAGACCATCTTTTCTATGCTCTCCCTGGTCTTCTCTGTTTTCGGTCACTGTCTTTTCCTCGGTCACTGTCTTTTCCTTGTTCACTGTCTTTTCCTTGTTGCCTTTATCCTCCCTCTCCTTTCTTTTCTCCTCAATCTCTTCCAACCATGTATCGCCTGCGTCTCTTCTTACCCTAAATGTCGGCAATGCCGCTGTATTTCACATTTCCGTTGGGAATCACAGAGCACCTTGGAGCTGTGGCAATTAGCAACACTGTTTCGAAATTTGTGTTTTTAAACCTTCTACATTGGCGGGACAACGTGATTTGTTTCAGGACATGACTGGCCGTCCATGTGGTCAACTGATGCCAGATAATGGAAACTGGAAAGTCGTGTCCCACGAGCATCTGTTCCAGCTCGTGGCCCATGAGCATCCGTTCCAGCCGCCTTCTCCACGTCGTGATAGAAGTAAGGATGGTAGGTCGGAGGGCAGCACTTAACGCTTTTCCTTTGCTTGTGGTGGATAACGGATAGGACGAGAGTGGCCACGACAACCTTTGTCCTCCTCTGGTAGACAGACCCTGGCAACGCAGCCCGAGCTGTCCCTCACTGGTCATCTCCCTTTGTCACTACCAGGTCATCCCCTCCAGTCCAGTCTCTCACAGCAAAATTTTGCCCTGCATCTCAGTTCTCATCAATGTGATGATGTATGCTGCCTGTCCCATGACAGAGAAATTTAAACATGCTCAGCTATTAGAAATAAACTAATCATAGTATTTTTATATTAGCTTAAATTAAAATGTTATCTTAAACTAATGCTAATATTTTTATAATTCCTACCTGACACACTGGTTTTAAGCTTCTTCCTAAGTTGCAGAAATTTATTTCTGATCGATTTCTTGAGACCAAATCAGTCAGTATGCTTTGAAAAATATCTCCAGAGCACATGAGTTATTCCTTATCTTATTAGAGCTGGGTGAAGGCTGTTTTTCAATGAAAAGAAAAAATGGTATGTCTTGACAAAAGCTGAAAAGATCCAATTTATGTGTGTCTTCAGGTTCGCAGTTACAAGTTAATAGTAGCGATCTAGTAAATACCGAAATAAATTTAGTTTGGTTCACAATATTTAAAAATTAACTGGTTGATAAGCTTGAAAAGGAAACTATGAAATTCTGGCCGGCCTTGAATAATTGTAAGAACTGGTGATGCTGGAGTCTTCTTACGTGACAATCACCAGCTGGTCTGGTTCCAGGTGCCACTACCCTTTACCCACTCAGCCTATTCCAATTATTCTCACTGCTGACTGCTTGCTGTTAGATAATAAGGAAGTCTATGACCCTAGTTTGGTTAGTTTCCCTTGGAGGTAATTAACTAAGGCTGATGTTGACCCAGTGTTTGGAAGTTAATCTATCAGTTTAAGGTTTGTGTTTGTATTTCTTATGTGTGACTATGGAACTGTACTCCCCAGTTTTAGGATGATTGGTGCTCCATAGAAATTCCTTCTTTAAGATTTAGTTATTTTATTTTTGTATACCAGTGTTTGCATGTATGCTTGCACGGGACCATATTCATGCTTGGTGCCCACAGAGGCCAGATGATGGTGTTGCAGCTTCTGGAATAGAAGTTACAGGCAGGTGTGAGCTGCCATATGGGTACGCTCTTAGAAAACTGACCGATTATATCCACAGAGAAATCTTTCTAGCTCTAGAAACCTCCACTATAATCTTTTCAAAAATTTTATTTTATACTATGAGTACTCTACCTGCATACATATCTGTATGCAAAGGCCGGTCAAGAGACTGTTGAGTCATCTGGAACTGGAGTTAATGACAGTTGTGCATCACCCATTGAGGCGTTGGGAACCCAACCTAGGTCCCCTGGATAAACAAATGATGCTTTTAACTGCTGAGCCCTCCTCTCCCTAGCTTCCAGAAACCTCCTCTTAGCATGGGTCTCCTCAGAGCACCTATGAATTCCAGAGCACGTCATACAAGAACCAGACTTTTTCCTCTGTACATTAGATTGTTAGAGTTGTGTTATTTTAAAGTCCTCTAGGTTTTCTGTATAGTTTTATCTGCCTGGTTGTCTAACAGGCTTTAAAATTAGTTGGTGGCTTGATCTAGGAAAATAAATTTCATGCATGATAACTTTCATGGTTGACACCTTTGCTGAGTTATTTCCTCTCTTACAACATGACAAAAATATTTCTTTACTGGGTCGAATTTGCATGTTTACAAGTCAGGGTTCTATAAAGGAACAGAACTTACAGAATGAATCTCTCTCTTTCTTTCTCTACACATATATACATATATGAATATATACATATATATTTTTTATGTATATGAGTGGCTTTTATATATTCATTTACCATGCACTCACAAACTGTAAGCCATTATAATAAATCCCCTTTATTTATGCATACACACATATACATATACATACACACACACACACACACACACATATATATATATATATATATATATACATTCATATACATATATTCATGTCAGTCAGTCACTAATCCAGCTAGTTCAACAATTGCTGTCTGCCAATGGAAGGTCCAAGAATCCAGTAGTTATTTCATCCAAGAGACTGGATGTATACGCCACTCTTCAGTATATGCCAGAATCCTGGAAAAGTAGGCTCTAATGCCATGAAGGAATGGAACTGCCAGTGAGAGAGAGCGAGCAAGCAGGCAGAGAAAGCAGGCTTCCTTCCCTTTGTATATACCAGAGGTTGTGGCCCAGATTAAAGGTGGATATTCTTACTTCCAAGATCCAGATTAAAGGTGGGTCTTCCCACTTCAAACTATTTAATTTAGAAAAATCCCTCAGAAGTATACTTAGCCACTTGGATTTTAGTTAATTCCAGATGTACTCAAGTTGACAACCAAGAATAGCCAACACAGAATGTCTTTATTTATTATTCCTGGAACTATTCCATGGGATCTAAGTATGGTCATGTGTAAGAAGCGAGGAAAGCATACACTGAGCTCTGTCTTGTCTAAGGGCTTAGGCCAGAAACCCTTGGAAGTCCAATGGAAAGAGCTGAATAAATATTGATGAAGATGACCCTGGGCCCACTATTCACTGGACTCATTGATTAACTATTATGTAATAGCATAAAGCTCTAAGCTCACAAAAGGCTCTCAAGCCAGCCCTTTAGAATGACTGTGAAAGAGGTTGGTGGACACACAAGTGCAAAGATTCCTTTAGATCTATGTGTTCTGTGGCCTTATCTGAACTATGAAGAACAGTGCACTTCTGGCACAGCCCTGCATGATGTAGGAGGGTCATCTGTCTATGTGTTACTTTCATTGGTTAATAAAGAAACTGTCTTGGCCCTTTGATAGGGCAGAATTTATATAGATGGAGCAGACAGAACAGAATGCTGGGAGGAAGAAGAGCAGAGTCAGGCAGACACCATGATTCCACTTCCCAAGACGGACACTGGCTAGACTCATGCCAGTAAGCTACGACCTTGTGGTGGCATGCAGATTATTAGATATGGGTTAGTCAAGATGTGAGAGTTAACCAATAAAAGGCTTGAACTAATGGGCCAGGCAGTGTTAAATGAATACAGTTTCCACGTAATCATTTCAGGTGTAAACTAGCTTCGGAGCTGGGATCCGGTAGGAACGTGGCCTGCTGCTCCTCATTCCGGCACCTGCAAAATCAACACTTGGCTTCTCCGTTAGAACTGATGAAGCTCTGAGAATAACCCAACAATGAGACCCTTTGGCTGCTGTGATCTCAATCAGGTTTTAATCAATAATCAGCTTTCAACCTGAGCTCCTGACTGATTTTCTCAGACCCTCCTGGTCTTGTTTGACCTTTGTCCAGCCCTATTTCCTATGGTAATGTGTGGTGTCCATGACTGGAAAACAGGCCATGGATCATGCTTTAGAAACTTAGCTCAGCTGTGTGTGGTGAATCTTCCTCTACCCACTGGGGTAGGTACTCATAGCCTTTCTGAGTTGCTGAAGATTGATGTCCTATGGATAATCCTGAGGAGGAAGGGGAGCGATGGTAGGTAGTGATCAGTGGTAAAACTCTGAAGTCCCACAACTTTTTCCCTAGACTGAGGGATGGAGCATGACCTTGTGCTTCCTAAGTGGATATTGTAGCACTATGCTACACAATAGTCCACAAGTCCATATTTGATTTCAACCACTTGCCAGTTATTTTGAATAGGTTAACAAATCAATTCGTTTTCCCTATCAAAATGAATATTAAAAATCAAACACAGATCACATATAGTAGATTTATAATACATAGATAATTTAAAGTTTGAAAGAATTTTAGCATTTGTCATAGTCAAGGTTCCTATTGCTGTGATGAAACACTATGACCAAAGCAACCTGGGGAAGAAGGACCTATTTGGCTTATGTTTCCACATCATGTTCATCAATGAAGGATGTCGGGACAGGAGCTTAGACAGAGCTGGGACCTAGAGCCGGGAGCTGGTGCAGATGTCATGGAGGTGTGCTGCTTACTGACTTGCTCCTCATGACTTGCTCAGCTTAGCGAACTCAGACCACCAACCCAGGGATGGCCCCACCCACAATGGACTAACCCCTCCCTCATCAGTCACTAATTTTAAAAAATGTCCCACGTCTTGCCTACAGCCTGCTCTTAAGGAGGCATTTTCTCAGTTGAGGCTCCCTCATCTCTGATGGCTCTAGTGTGTGTTGACGTGAGATTAGCCAGGAGTGCATGTATTACATTCAGTTCTCCACCTAGAGTTTAATAACACAATAAACTGTGAGAATTCAATTGTAGTATAAGCCTTAAGAATTGCCAAAATGAAGAGCACATTATGGCAAGAAAGCACTAGAGTATCTTTTCAAGTTAAATAGAAGATCAAATTTAAGTTAATACTCTTCAGGGCAGAGAAAAAAAATGAGTTCATTGAAAAATTAAACATCTTATTGTATAAAGAGTTTGGATGGGAAATTATAGTGGAAAAAATGGGAGTAGTGGAGTAACAGAATCTAGCTTATTTAGCAAAAATTCTTATTACAAAACAATATAACTAATTATAGAAAATTTTAAGATATGAAAATAAACACAGAGGAACATTTTCTTTCTTCCTTTTTTGTTTTATTTTCTAATACTAATTGCCACAATCATTTGGGAATGCTTTTGTATATTTTCATACATATATGTAGGTATGGTGTTTGTAGTATGTGGTTTTTAGAACTATAAATTTATACAAATATAACTTTCATTTATGAAATTGTTATTACAAAACTGTGCTGTAATATTTTGACTTTTAATTTATTTTTTATTTTTCTTTAACAATTTTTAAAGAAAATTTATTCATTTATTTGCTTGATGTGTGTGTATGTGTGTGTGTGGGGGGGTTTATGTGCATATACATACCTCCCATGTCATGTAGGCAGAGCCAAAGACAAATTGTGGGAATGGGTTCTATATATCAACACGTGTGTCCCCAAGTCTGGCAAAACATACCTTTCCCAGTTGAGACATCTCTCCAGTCCTACTTTCTTCTTTGTTGGTTTGTTTGTTTTATTTTTTGAGGCAGGGTATTGTTCCATAGTTCAGACTGTCTTGAACTTGGAATTCTCTCACCTCTGTATCTCAGGTGCTGGCAGTAGGACGTCCACTACTGTCACATCTGGAAATATGAAAATGCTGTTTAAATGACAGAAGAAAAATCTACCAGGAAATACAATTTAATGAATATGAAACATGCAAAATCCAGCAATGTGAAGCTACTCATTCTTGTCTTATTGCTGTGTGATGTTTGTGATGGACTTTCTTGACAATGTCATCAGTCTGGCTATTTCTGCATCAGCATCATGGAGTCTACAGGGAATTCTATTCTGTGAATGCATAAAGTTTAATTTCAAAAATACTCGTTTTTTTTTAAAAAAAAGTGTTTATTTTTTTTTCTTTAAACCAATACTTCAAGGAGCAACTAAGTAGTTTAACACCTTACTATTCCTAGGACATTGCCTTAGGACAAACTTTGGAAAGGAAAGTTATTGACACCAAGGCTCGGCATGTTTTATACCCTTAGATAACTTCAGGCTATCACAAGAATTTTGAGTTACAAATAAGATACTTTCTTTCTTCTAAAATAAAATATTATTCTTTTACACTACTTCTCAACCTCATAGAATAGTTGTTTTGAAATATAACAAAAGTCCCATGTAGGTGGTCTAGTGAGTTCCATCTTTTTACAGACATTAATTTTTAATTATGTGTACATGTGTGTGTGTGTGTGTGTGTGTGTGTGTGTGTATGTGTGTGTGTGTGTTGGGGTATTGCATGTGAGCACATGTGCCTGCAGGGGGCAGAAAAGGGTGTTGAATTCCCTAGAGCTGGAGTTACAGTGGTCTGAGCTTTCAAGTGTGGGTGCTGGTAACTGAACTTGGGTCCCTCAGAATGACAGCAGTATTCTTAACTCTTGAGATATCTCTTGACTCAGTTCATCATATTTTAGGAATCACATAGCAGCAAATTTGCGTTTTGCAAAATCTTTACACACATTTATAAATAATACCATGAGGAAATTTCCAGTGTTTTGGGAATAATGAACATCATTATTTCATAGCATTCTGACTTAGGTAAATAAGTCTTTACCTGACTTAGGTAAATAAGTCTTTCAGAGGAAAGACTATCAATACAATACAAAAAATATAAATGAGTATGTAACTGTTTGTATTCTTATGTAGATTAAAAAGTTAAATTGGCCCCTTTTAGTTTTACTATTCTCAAAATATAGACACATTTCTAATACAAAAAAATATGTATTAGAGTACCTGGAAATTCTACAGTAATTTGAATGGTTCTTAATTAAATGTCTTATCCCCAACCACAGCATCTTTCAGGCCTCCAGCCTTCACTGGGTAACTGCTCAGCTTCTGAAGTCTTGTTTCCACCCTTGTTGTTACTCTTGTAACAGAACATGTTTCCTCCTTTATGATCAGCTTATGGCTGTCTCCTCGTCATTCAGGCCTTTCTTTTGGGATCATTCATTCACAAACCAGGCTAACAACAGGAGATTCACAGGAGATAACCATTAGTCCATTTGCCTCCCATCAGCCTGTAGAAGATGGCCCCCTTCGTCTCTGAAACTAGCTGTGGTCAGTTGACTTGCTTTACTCCATAATATATGCCACCATCAACTTGACATTGACTGGAAGTCCTCAAAAGGTGCTGCATGATTTGTCACATGACCTCATCTAACCTGTCATGTTTGGTCATGTGACCTCATCATCTAACCTGTTGTGTTTGTTGGTGTTAAAATGAGAAGCTTCCCTCATCCTCAGTCTCTGAAAGGGGACACAGAACAGTTCTGCACTGAACCAGGTCAGCAAATTTCCTTGAGGGAAAAGCTATAGTGTTCAGACTTGAGGCTGTTTGTTGGTGTATAAACCCAGACAATCCCAACGATTTTCCTACTTTGTGTTTATCTGAGTGTGCATAGTTACACAAAAACCAGTTTCCTTATAAATTAAGAGCTGTCTTCCTTACTAACGTGGTGCAGGAGCGTTGTCTGTCTTCATCACTGTGCTGTCTCCAAAGCCTGTAAGGTTAGCTGTGGCTTTAGTAGGCCTCTGAGATGTGTGCTGAGCAAGCAAATCCAATGACCAGAGCATTTCGACGTGGGCAGCCCCATGAGGACAACTGTTGTGTCAAGACTCGAGGACAGCCTTTGACACATGCTTAGTTAGGCTCTGACGGCTGGAAATGGTGAGCCTCGCTCATTTGCAGAAAGATCTCACTCTCATCCTTACAGCTTTTCTTTCCCCCTTGTTTCATAAACAGTGTTCCTCTGTGTGGAAGGAAAATAATCAAACTTTGTCGTTTGTAGTCTATGTCGTCATAGACGAAGAAAGAGTTCTCTTTACGTGAAGCAGCTTAGTAGCACCTTAACCGCATTTGGTGCACAGGCAGCTTTGCCTTTCTAGAGGACAGAAAAAGCCAATGTGTTTCGTACAGATCCACGAAGCACAACTTCTGTTTTGACCCATGACTATCCTTTCATTATAATGCCTGGTCTCTGCTGTCTTCTGAGGTGTTCTGGGTCGAAGATTTCTCAAAGGCTTCAAACAGGTGAAGGGTTGTGTTTGTTATTGGGTAGGTGATCAGTAGTGCTTCCCGCCAGGGGGCAACTTCCCATCTTATGCTCTTCTTTGAGATGCTCAGTCCTCGAGCCAGATGATAACTCCCACTCTTTGGTCTTACAGACTAATTTAGGGTAACTGCTAACAGCTGTACCCCTGGACTCTTTCTCTTGGTCAGAAGGAGAAAAGCACAGATGGTGGCATTGCATGTTCCCAAGGCTCCTTTGGCTCCTGGAGTCATTTGTTGTCTTCTCAATTTCTGGAAGGGGAAAGCTATTCTGACATCACACTGCAGTGGCCGTTTGCCTTTGGACAACCTGAGACTCTCCAATCTGAATCTGAGGGACCTGAGGGCTCACTTCCCCGACTTTAGCAGCACCGGACACTGCAGACATTGTAGCTCCTTTGTCACAATAAGAAACATGCCTTGTCCCTTGTGTCTTTTTTTTTTAATGACATTCTGAAACTTTAAAAAAAAATCCTTTCAATTGTATCTCATGGCTTCCCGCCCCCCCCCACTCACCTCTGCTGTACTTTTAATTTATCTTGAAGCATGACTTTTTTATAATATATTGTACATCAAGGGCTTCCATGTTTCCTGTGCTGCTAAACAGAAACAGGGTAGCAATAGCTTAGAACACGGGGTATTTCTTCCATCTTTAACTTACTTTGGCATCTGAAACACTTCAACT